AAAAAAAAAATCTAAACTGTCCACAGAAAATAAACACAAATGGCTGTAAATATATAAAATAATGATAAACACTCATAAGAGTCATGCAAATTGTAACTACACTAATATGCCATTTTTTTACATAACACACTGGCAAAAAATAAAGTATGAAAATAAGAATGCATAAATTACTGGTGAAAAGGTAAATTTATGCAAACCTATGGAGGGCAATATCTGTCAAAATTAAGAATGCACATACCGTTTGACCCAGTAATTCCATTTCATGAAATTTATTCTATAGTTAATTTGCATATATGCAAAATTACATATGTAGATTATTTATTGCAACACTATTGTAATAGAAAATGACAAGAAGTAACCTAAATGACCACAGATGACTAGTTAAAAAAATTCTTGTACATACATGCCAAAAAAAAATGTCAAAAATACTGTATATGCCCACATATGAAGATTTCCAAGATGTATTGTTAAATGGCAAGAGCAAGGAGTAGAACAGTGCACATAGTGTACAACCATTTGTATAGAAAGACACGGAGACAAGGTGGCTAATAAGTTATTTAATTGGTTAGCTAGTTGGTTACCGATACAGAATATACCAGTATGTAAATTGGTTGATTGGTTTATTAGTTAAGCATTAGTGGCTTTCTGGTATAGAATAAAATATCTCTAGAAGGACAGACATAAAGCTTATAAAAGTGTCTCATAAGGGAACAGGTAAGAGGGAGATTATATACATATTTACTGTTTAATACATTCTGAATTTTTAACCATGCAAAATGTTACATACTTAAAAAATAAATGCTTAAATTAAAAATGTAGAGACATTTGCCAAAAGATTATAGTTTATGAGCATGCATCCACTTAGCAGCATATACCCTAATCAATAAAGAACTTACTTTTCACTCTCAGAGATTAAAATTTCTCCCTATCAGGAATCTAGTTGCAAGCTAGTCTCTAAAATTTGCACATTGATGCCTTTTAGCAAAAATTTTTAACCTTGCCTCAGAGGCGCCAATCTCTAATTAAATTTTTTTCCAAAATTATTTCTAAAAACATTAGCATAGTAATTAGAGTAAGTTATTTTGAAACAATATTTAAACATAAAATTTAATAGGATGACTTTTTAAAAGAATTTAAAATAGTTTTTAGACACAAACTAAGTGAAATTCTCAAGTCTGTTCTTTGGAATAAAAGCTACATGTTTATTCAAGGCAGATATGAATTTGTGACATTTGCTTGAAGAAAAACAAAAGTCCCAGAGACAATCTGAAAAAGGAGAAAGTCACAAATCGTCTTTTTCTAAAGGAATAATAAATACGGAAAATGTCTTGCTGCCACTCAGACTTCAGAGAACCAAAAATCAAAGACAAAGCAATGGAAATACTAATAAAAATGATGAGGTGGTATAAAGAAAACCTCCAGTAACCTTAATAAAATAAAACCAAATTATCCAAGTTTGGCAAGGAAAAAAAAACCTCTATACCGTGAAGGGCAATTAGAACGCACAGCCCTAGTCGCTGTCTACTACAGTTACCTGATTCGTGGGGCTCTTGTAGTTAAGTATTACATTGTTCTCAAGACGGTTGTTTCCCCATCCACATCCTAGTTCAATTGCAGACACAAACATTTTAACTCCCTAGAAGGCAGTTGAGATAAGATGATACAGTTAATCCACTTTTAACTGAAGACTTCCAGATAACAAAGGAGATGCAAACAGAAAGAGTACTATAAAATTTTATATTCTGAACTTCTGGACAATACTGCCTCTCTGAGATCCATGGGACTACATTTTATTAGTACCCCAAGGAAAGGAAGCACACTCAGAGAGTTCCTGGATTTTCTTCTCTTGTCTCCTTCCCAGAGAAGGAACCCCACAACATGATCCCGTAGTCATCTGCCTATGGAGACGTTTCCGTGTAGGTGTGCAGCAGTTCGGTCATCCTCACCCGAGTCTCTGCTGGGCCACCAAAGCCATCCAGAAGCCTCGGGCCACCAGAAGTAGCTGCTTGAACATGACTCGGAGCTTGACGTTGCTGATGATGAGGACAAAGGGATGGACAGATGTGCACAGGTAGATTGAAATTTGCCATAGCCAGTACCACTCTTTCTGTATGGGGACAAAGGCTGCGGCCTCAATGATCATGGACAGGAAAGACAGAACATAAAGAACGAGGAAGGAGATGAGGGACATGAGAGCTCTGGTGTGAGCCTGGGTGCTGGGGTCCTGCAGGCTGCTGGCACTGTGCTGCATTCTCCGGGTGTGTCTCCTAAGAGAACTAATCAAGAGTGCAGTTGAGACCAGAAAAACAAAGCAAGGAATTGACGACATGACAAGTTTCAGGGGCAGAAAATAGTGAATTTCCATCCTCTTTTTAGATTGCGTATCAGTTGTGTTCCCCAAAAACTTTCTAATGAAGAATCCTTTATACACACTATGGTTCCCCCAAAGGAAGAGCAGAGTTACAATGAAGGAGATCAGGACAGAGCTCAACAGGAGCCAGGGCACCAACCCCGGGAGCCTCCACTTCAGCCAGAGGAAGGTCGGGTGATTGAAGTTAGCGATCTTCATACAGAAGAGGACGCTGAGCCAGGTGCCAAACCAGAAGGAGGCTGAGTTCAGGAAGTCCCAGGGCAGAGAAATAAACTGTCGGATGAAACCCACGGAGTACTCGTCCGGGCAGAGGAAGAAGTAAAAGTTGTGCACCATTCCCACCCACTGCAGGAAAAAGCGGGAGACACCCAAGCTAATGAGGATCCTGTCCAAGGGAAGCAGCCTGCCATATCGCAGCCACTCCCTGCTCAGCACCAGCACAATGAAGCCATTTGACAAGATCCCCAGGAGACACAGCAGGATGTAGAGCAGCATGAACAAGCCTGTCAGTGCCAGCTGCATTTTGACCCCTCTTCCAGTCACAACCCAGGTGACTTGGTCCCTGGCCTTCTCTCTGCTCCCACCCACAGTCTTTTTTCCAATCTTTCCTGGGGATGTGAGAAGAGTGGTCAGGCTCTGCATCTGAGTCAGAGTTCACTTGGAGCGGAGGACACTCAGGTTAGGGAGGAAAGGTGTGCTCTCAGCACAAAGAGGATGCAAATTTCCTCTGGGCTCAGTTACCACTACGCCTACTTTCTGCCCCTGAGTTGCCCTCTCTGGTTTTGCCTGCATGCTGCCACGGTTAGCATCAGTGCAGAGGATTTTTCAGTATCTCTGTGACTGAGTTCCATTCTTCTTATTCCACCCTTGGACCAGGTGAATTCTCTTGCCATCAGGTCATTCTCAAGACTTTAGGCATATAGACAACAAGTATAGGGAGATACCTAAAAAAAAAAAAAAAAAAAAAAAAAAAAATACTGACACCAGAGAAGTCTGTCTCAGCTGAGTGTCCCTGTTACACACCCAGTCTTACTTTTGAGCAGCCATCCATCCCTTCAAAAATCAAATAACTCAGTCTGCCTTTCCACCCCAATTTTTTCTACTTAAATCCTTCATGGACCCTCAGGGGTAAGTGACTGATAATGGTTTAAACCAGTTTTGTGTTTCTAGTGAGAATTTATTTCCCTGTGGTTGAAGGGCCCTCAGAAGCAAGACTGAAGGCTCCTGCTTCTTGCTGGGTGCCAGTTGGAGGCAACCCTTGGATTCTAGAGGCCTCCCACAGCCAAGTGAGCTGTTCCAACTGGCTGCTTACTTCATCAAGCCAACAAGGAGTCTCTAGAGGGAGTTTTAAGTAACATAACACAACCACGGGAGTGATATCCTATCACCTTTGCCATATACTATTGCCTAGAAGCAAGTCACAGTCCCCATCAACACTCAAAGAAAGGGGGTTACACAAAGGCCCAATACCAGGGCTGAGAGTCTTGCGGGGGAACCTTACAGTCTATCCACCACACTGAGATACCATAGCTACAGGCATAGATGAGTCCTGTCCTCCCACATCAATATTACAAAGAGATCCCTAGGAGGTCATGTTGAAAAACCAAAAAAAAAAGGAAGAAAAGGAAAAATTCTAACATATCCATCACCTCATATGGTTACTATTTTCAATTTTTGTGTGTTTGGTGAGAATACGTAAGACCTACCCTCCTAGCAAATTTCATGTATACCATAAAGTATTATTACTCTATGTTACATATTCACTTTACTGTATTCTAGGTCTCTAGTAACTTTGTCCCCCTTGACCAACATCTCCCCATTTCCTTCTTGTCCCAGCCCTGGCAAGCACTGTTCTACTCTCTACTTCTATGACTTTGATTATTATATTTATTTTTTCATTGATTTATTTTTCTTTCTTTTTTAAAATTTATTTTTGGCCACAAAACAAGTCCACAATAATGAAGGAAATTTAGAAAATTCAAAAATGTATGGAAATTAAACAACATTCTCCTAAATAAACAATGGGTAAAATGAAAAATCCCAGGGAAATTACATAGTACTTTGAGATAAAGATCAAAGTGCAACATATCAAAGTTTGCAGGATGCAGGGCTCATGCAGTGCTTACAGGAAAATTTAGACATGTAAATACCTATAATAACAATAAGAAAAGCTCAAATAGGTAATGTAAACTTCTACCTTAAGAAAATAGAAAAAGAAGAACAAGCTAAACCAAATGCACATATAAGTAGGAAAAACAAAGATTCTAACAAAAAAATATGAAATAGGAAATTAAAAATCAACAGAGAAAATCAACAAAACCAAAAGCTGATTCTTTAAAATGATCAATAAAAACTTGCAAACCCTTATCTAGACTGACCAAGAAAAAAAGAGAGAAGATTGAAATTACTAAAATCAGAAATAAAGCAAGGGCATTCTTATATAGTCATTATGGTTTTTTGTAATGGTAAAATTTAGTTTCTCTTTCTTGTTTGTATTTTTGTTCTACCAGTGGATTTTGTTCTTTCTTGTGTATTTGTGGTAGTGATGATCTTTTTTTGATTCCAAATGCAAGACTTCCTTGAGGATTTCTTGTAGGGCTGGTTGTGTGGTGGTAAACTCCCATGTTTTTCTTTGTCTGGAAAATACACTATTTTCCCCTCATTTCTGAAGGATTGCCTTGCTGAGTATAGTATTCTTGGCTGGCAGATTTTTTCTTTTAGTATTTTGAATATATCATCCCATTTTCTTCCAGCCTGTAGAGTTTCTGTTGAGAAGTCTGCTGTTAGTCTGATGGTAGCTCCCTTATAGGTGACTTGATGCTTTTCTCTTGCTTCTTTTAAGATTCTCTCTTTGTCTTTGAGCTTTGCCAATTTGACTATAATGTGTCTTGTAGAAGATCTTTTTGGGTTCAATCTTTTTGGGGAGTTTTGAGCCTCCTGGATCTGAAGATCCTTGTCTCTCCCTATACCTGGGAAGTTTTCTCTTATTATTTCATTGAATAGGTTCTCCATGCTTTTTCTTTTCTCCTCCCCTTTTTGAACACCCATGATAAAAATGTTTGTGCACTTAAGATTGTCTGCTAGCTCTCTTAGATTTTCTTCATTTTTTAAAATTATTTTTTCTTTTTTTTTCCTCCTGAGTTATTTCAAAAAGATTATCTTCAAGATCAGAAACTCTGTTTGTTCTAGCATGCTTCTTAAGCTATTACTTGTGTTTTTTATTTCATTGAGGGAATTAGTTCTGTGAGTTCTGCTACATTCTTTTTTAAAGAATTAATCTCTTTGTAAATTTCCTCCTTCATATCCTGGATTTTTTCCTCATTTCATTATGTTGTCTAACTGAGTCTTCTTGTATCTCAGTGAGTTTCCATAAGATTGTTGCTTGGAATTCCTTTACAGTCACTTCAAAGGTTTCCTGCTCTATAGGGTCTGGTATTTGAGAATTACTGTATTTTTTTGGAGGTGTCATTTTTTGTTGTTGTTGTTTTGTTTTGTTTTGTTTTCATGTTTCTAGTATCTCTGCATTGATGTCTGGTCATCTGGATACAGCAGTTGCTTCTTCTATTAGTCTGGAGTGAGCTTTGAGGAAAGAGATGTCCTTGTCTTTTTCTGGTCTCCATTGGTGACTCTCCTTGTGTCAATGCAGTTGAGTGTCTGCTGAGCTGCCTGCATGGTGGCTGTGGCTACTACTGTGACATTGAGACACTTTTGCAGCAGCCATGACTGTGGCAGTGGCTGCATTAGACCACTCACGCTGAAGTTGTGTTTTTGGCATGCTCTCTTGCCTGCTTCCAGGTAGGGGATGATGCCCTCAGCTCCTGCCTAGGACACCAGGTGTGCTCTCTTTACCTGCTTCCTGGTGGAGGGATCTTCCCTTGCTTCTGCCTACAATCCCATGTATACTCTGCCTCTTGCCTTCTTTTGGGCAGAAGGGGCTGCTCTTGGCTTCTGTCCAGGACTTTAGGTGTGCTCTCCTTACCGGCTGCCCTTGGATCCTGCCTAGGACCCCACCCATGCTCTCCTTGCCTGCTTCTAGATGGAGAGTGACTTTGATTATTCTAGATTCCACATATAAGTGAGATCATGTGGCATTTGTCTTTCTGTGTCTGGAATATTTCACTTAATGTAATGTCCTCCAGATTCATCCATGTTGTTGAAAATGGCTGGATCTCCTTTTGTAGGATTGAATAACATTTCATTGTGTATATATACCACATTTTCTTTATTAATTTATCCTTTTAGATCATTTTCATATCTTGGCTATTGTGAATAATGTTTCAATGAATGTGGGAGTATAGAAATCTCTTTGAGATACTTATTTCATTTTTGTTGAATATAAAACCAAGAGTGGCATTGCTGGGACATATGGTAGTAACATTTTTAATTTTTTGGAGAACCTCCATACTGTTTCCCATAATGGGTGTACAGTGTACAGGTGTTTCTTTTCTCCATATCCTCACCAACACTTATTATCTCTTGTCTTTTTTCTAACAGGTGTGAGCTGATATCTTCTTGTGGATTCACCAGTCTATCCACCACACTGAGATACCATAGCTACAGGCATAGATGAGTCCTGTCCTCCCACATCAATATTACAAAGAGATCCCTAGGAGGTCATGTTGAAAAACCAAAAAAAAAAGGAAGAAAAGGAAAAATTCTAACATATCCATCACCTCATATGGTTACTATTTTCAATTTTTGTGTGTTTGGTGAGAATACGTAAGACCTACCCTCCTAGCAAATTTCATGTATACCATAAAGTATTATTACTCTATGTTACATATTCACTTTACTGTATTCTAGGTCTCTAGTAACTTTGTCCCCCTTGACCAACATCTCCCCATTTCCTTCTTGTCCCAGCCCTGGCAAGCACTGTTCTACTCTCTACTTCTATGACTTTGATTATTATATTTATTTTTTCATTGATTTATTTTTCTTTCTTTTTTAAAATTTATTTTTGGCCACAAAACAAGTCCACAATAATGAAGGAAATTTAGAAAATTCAAAAATGTATGGAAATTAAACAACATTCTCCTAAATAAACAATGGGTAAAATGAAAAATCCCAGGGAAATTACATAGTACTTTGAGATAAGTATAAGTTCCTTATATATTTTCAACATTAATCTTTTATCAGATATGTGGTGTGGATTGGGAGAAAAATATTTTCTTACAATCCAGGCCAGCCTATGGCTCACTCGGTAGAGTGCGGTGCTGATAACACCAAGGCCACGGGTTCGGATCCTATATAGGCCGGTTGGCTCACTGGCTGAGTGTGGTGCTGATAATCCATAGGTTGCCCCTCCACTCTGCTGATTGTTTTCTTTGCTGTGCAGAGCTTTTTAGTTTGAAGCAGTCCCATTTGTCTATTTTGCCTTTCTTGCCTGTGCTTTTTGTGTCATATACTAAAAATCTTTGCCCAGACCAGTGTCAAAAAGATTTTTTTCCAGCATTTTCTTCTAATAGTTTTATAATTAAAATTTCAGGTCTTACATTTAAGTCTTTAAGTCATTTTGAGTTGAT